TGAGACAGAGTCTCAAGCTATAGTCCTGGGTAGAGTGCTGCGACATCACAGCTCACAGCAACCTCAAACTCTTGGGCTTAAGCAATCCTCTTGCCTCAGTCTCCCAAGTAGCTGGGATTACAGGCACCCACCACAACGCTTGGCCTTTTTTTTTGGCTTTAGTTGTCATTGTTGTTTGGTGGGCCCGGACCGGATTCAAACCCGCCAGCTCCAGTGTATGTGGCTGGCAACCCTAGCTGCTTGAGTTACAGGTGCCGAGCCAGCAGTGTCTTTTAAGTAGTTTTCTAACCTGAGAATAATAACTGTTAAGCTTATTTCACATGATTGCTGAAGGATGAAATAATATATATGAAAGTACTTTAAAAATAGAAAACACTGTAACTATAAAAAGGTGCTGTTATTATTAGATGTTTTGCCAAAGAGCTCAAATTTTATAAAATCCATATAGGGTAAATGAGAACGAGCTGCCTGCCTTTTCTCTTCTTGTGACATGTTCTTCGGAAGAAGAAAGGAACTTTGGCATATAAAAGTGGTTTGTATTGGTGACACAATTTGTGAAACCATTCAAGTAAATAACTTAAAAGGGGAGGATTTTGCTTCAGAAGCAGCTCTTAACAGAATTCAGCCAGTAGCTGGAGAGAAAGATAGAATGAAAGCTTGAAAAGGATGTAGAAAAATAAGGTAAATTCTCTTACAAGAGTTTTACCTCAAAAAGATTGTCTGAAATTTTGGAATTTGATAACATCAAAGATTATTTGCATTGAGTCTCATTTTTGGAATTTGAGTGTATTCGTCTGCCCCATAATCAGGTATTATCCTATCTGGAGAATAGACTCTGTTGTTATACACCTGTGAGGATAACTCTGCTTTAGTCTGTTATGTAGCTCAGGCCTGACTGAGATTGTGGCAGAGGCTATAGAAAGAAGTAGGTGGATTTTAGTCAGATAAGTAGTCTAGAGCTGATTTAAAGTATGCATAGGTTATATGCAAATACCCTTTTGCATATAAACTTGAGCATATATGGATTTTGATGCCTGCAGCAGATCCTGGAACCAATTCCCTATGATGATTATATATTATTGTTTTTACATATGGAAAATAAATATTCCATGTCCTCATTTCTAGGGCAAAATCAGAATGCCTCATTGTTTTTTTAGACTTGAATAATCTTAAATCATTTTTCTCTTGTAGAACCTCAAACTAAAGGTGTTTAGAATTATCTGAACATAATTCTAATTCACATAACTAATTATCTGTCTGGTCATACTGAGAACCTGAATGACTCAGATCCCTACTGGAAAGAAATCTGCTTAATTGAAAAGGGGAACTTGGCTTGGTGTCCATAGCACAATGGTTACAGTGTCAGCCACATACACCGAGGTTGGTGGGTTCAAACCCAGCCCTAGCCAGCTAAACAACAATGACAACTGCAACAAAAAATAGTCAGGTATTGTGGTGGGCGCCTATAGTCCCAGCTAATTAGGAGGCTGAGGCAAGAGGATCGCTTAAGCCCAAGAGTTTAAGGTTGCTGTGAGCTCTGATGCTACAGAACTCTACCGAGGGCAACAAAGTGAGACTCTGTCTCAAAAAAAAAAAAAAGAAAAAGAAAAGAAAGAAAAGGGGAACCAACAATATCATTCACTAAACTCAACTCTTACTTCCTCTTAGAGTGCTGCTTCACTGCTCTAAAATTAGTTTAATTCTGACCTAGCTACACATCAGTGCAGTAGTATCCTAACTGTACAGGTGTATTAAGATGGAAGAACAATCACAGTATCTTAGAAAAATGAGAGTTAATTGACTGTTTCTTACTTGCTGCCTTTCTAAAAATGGTTTCAGATGAAAAATACTTTAATGTCATTTTGGAATAAATACTGTCTAAATTCCATTGGTGATTTGTTGTAGCCAAATGGTTGTTCAAATAATTTTAAAATAAATATAAACTCATTTATAAAATTGAGGAAAGAAACTCTGAATAAACTTATCATTCTAACTGCTCTTACAATTCTAATGTTTCTTTATTGTCCTTTATCAGATACACATTTTATACATTCGTTTATTCATTTAACAAATATTTATTGAGTGCTTATTTTGTCAGACCCTGGTCTAGGCACTCAGTAGCAGCAATCACAGTGTCTAAACTGTGTGGAACATAAGATAATAAATACTTAGTATGTCAGAAGGTGATACATATTAGAAAGAAGAAGGAGGATAGAGAATTGCCAGGGTTTTGGTAGGGTTTTTTATTGTTGCTTTTTGTCTTTTGTTGCCAGGCTAGCGTGCCATGGCATCACCTACCTCACAGCAACCTTATACTTCTGGATTCAAGAGATCCTCTGCCTCAGACTCCCAAGTAGCTGGGACTACAGGCATGTGCCACTATGCCTGACTAATTTTTCTGTTTTTATTAGAGATGGGGTCTCATTCTTGCTCAGGCAGTCTCAAACTCCTGCGCGCAAGTGATCCTTCTGCCTCACCCTCTCAGAGTGCTAGGATTACAGAGGTGAGCCACTGTGCCTGGCCAAGAGTTGCTGTTTAATACGTAGTTAGGGAAGGAAGACATTTCTGACATGGTGGCATTTGAGCCACCTGAAGGAAGTGAGTAAAATATGTGGATCTGGAGAAAGAATTTCATCAACAGAAGAAGCTGGAAGTACATAGTCCTGAGAGAGGAGCTTTCTTTCTGTGTTAAGGAATAGCAAGGAGCTCATTGGTCATAGAGTACATACAGTTTTTGTTAGCCATTACATTTACAAAATATGGATTCACTTCAGCAACAGAAGTTTCATTATGCACCTCTCAAGTGGTATAATGGAAAGAGCTTAGTAAACATGAAATCTAGTTAGGGTTGTGAAATGACACATACGACAGAAGATTAAAGAATCACAGTTCTACACTAAGTCAACTTCAGTTGGGAGAAGCTCAAAATTCTATTTTCCAAAGAAAATTATGAAAAAAAATGTGAAACATTGTTCATCTAGTAATACATTTTTCCTGTGACTCTTAAGACCTCAGGCCTCAATTTCCTTACATATATTTAGGCTTAGATTAGATATCACTAAAGTCTTTTCAATACCTTTTGAAAGCTCCTTCTTACAGTAAACAGAAAATAAAAGCTAGTATCTCTGTCCTGCCCTTCACTAGAATGCGTGTAAACTACCCTTTAAAGAACTTGAATGCAGGTGCTTTTGTTTAATGTCCTGCTTCACATTTTCTGAGCTGGTGGTTCTGAGCATGTTAGGCCCTAAAACCGGTTCATACTTGTGGAAACAGGACATTAAAACTGAAAGAGTAACTAAAATTTACCCATAAGGATATATGATAGCAGTGGCCTGCTGACACTATAGGTTGTGTCAGTTATTGAGAGGGAGTATATTATCACCTACTGAGAGAGTATGCAGTTTGAAATAAACCAAAAAAAAAAAAGCCCTAATTGAACTACAGATTCTTCATACTGATATAGTACCCTGAACTGTACAGTTCCAGCATTTAGGAAGAAGGGTGCTAGCTTTTTAAGTCTGTTTAGTGTGGATAAGAGGAAAGAGTAGGAAACTAAAATCTACATTTCAAAAGGAGTTACATTCTTAGTTCTAAAATTGAAAAATAGCCCATTATAATAGGCCTTTTAAATACAACCTGGATCCCTACATCTGGGCTTTCTCCAAGTATTCTGTGTATTTTAAAAAGACACCCCCCCAAAAAGGGGACCTCTTCTCTGTTGGAGATATTTTTTAAGCCCTGTGAAGCGAGGATCTGATTTCATCATTTTATAGTTGGTAACAATCATCTAGATTAAACCATGTTCAAAGACAGTCTAATAGACTGTTTAATAGAAACGGTCCCAACTTCCAAGAATA